ATCTCTCATATTTTTTATTGAGTAGGTATATTTAATCTTGCATAATTTCCATCGTAGTTACCGGTTGCTAGTGTTGTTGTTTGTTTTTGTAAGCCATGTCAATTTTATAGTTTTCGCAACTTATGAAATGAAATTAATTCTTGCTTTAATCTATTTTAATTGTTCATAAAATAATGATAATTGGTAGGGGAAATGTCTCTAATGTTGGCCTATGGATCTAAGATTGGGCCCATCGTTAAAAATCTGCTATTTATCAATTTTATCAAGATGAACGCGTTATTGGCACGTTACTAATGGATATTTTTGGGTGCTATTTCTTCTATATGTATTTCAATTATGCTTATCTAATAGTGTAAAAAATGGTGTGTTATTCGAATTACTGATGGTTTAAAGTAAAGAGGTTCTAGAACCTCTCTAGTTTTGAGCAGACTTTCCAGTGCGCTATCATGAATTTCGACTCCTTTACAGAGCTGTTCCAGATTCCCAAAAAAATAAGGAACCGTTGATTGACATGACAGACCCAAGTATGGAGAAGAATAAGTTCTTGGATATGCCTATACAGGTCAATGATACCAGGGTTACGCTGCGCATTTGTCTGTCGAACTACGACGATGAAGCGAAACTTTTACAGTAGGAAATCGTACTGATTGCAATAAGCTTTTCGGGGAACATACATCGGAATACGGAGTTACTTTAGACTGGTAAAGTAATTAGCATTTTGCTAGTAGTCGATGTTTTCATTTGAACAAAAATTTCCCAGTTTTAGTAATTGGAACCATTGGTGATTGAGGATTTCAAAAAACGTTATCATTAGAATCCGTAGTGGCAAATATATTATCCCGGTTGAATCGAAGCGTTTCATGCGAGACTTGTATAGCTCGATCGTTCCAGAACGCGACACGTAAAAGAAGTTGATTGGTTGGTTGATTTTATTTAAAAGTTTGAACAATCGATACTTATTTATTCACATTGTCATGTGTTAAAATAAATTGAATTAATTTATGTTTTACAAATCTATGCTGTTAGCTGATGGAATCAATGAAAAATGGATTCGACATCAACACATAGCAGATATGGCATATATGGTTTAACAGATGAGAATTGACGGTTCCAAATCCGAGGAAATGTAGTTCATATTTACAACAATACTATGTACGGCAAAGTGGCATAATTCTGCGCAACACCTAATTCCGTGCATTTCGCTAAAATGTTGCAATATTTTACATCTAAATTTATATTTTTACCATGCACACAGTAGTCAATACCTACCATCATGTTCAATTCAATTCAATTTAAATACAAGTTCCAATTATTTAAGAATATTTCAAAACAGCCCGGAATTAGGCCTGCGCAGAATTATTGCATTTTTCGGCAGAATAAACACGTTCGGTGGGAAGCTAAAAGATGCGACTCTCCAGATGCCACACACACAAACCTTCACAACTTCTTTTAAATTTGTCGAACCTCTTAACGGAATCCCTTTATGAAGAGCTTTGTGTGTGTTCGATTAATTCCTTTTAATTCCGTTATAATTACTTATCCTTTGACAGATACGCGTATTTCGTCTACTACTTGCAGACTTCATTAGTGCCAAGTACTCAACACCAGAATCCATCTTTAATCCACGAGTCAGTCATACTTATTAATAAGTTTCTGTGATTAAGAAATATTTCCCTGAATTTGAATGAAATTCCCTGATTTTTCCGCTTTTTCAGGTAGTCGATACCCTGGAATGATTAAAAGTAACTTAAAACTGAGTAAAAGTTACTCACTCTCTGAAATAGTTTCATTTTCAGTGTACGAAGCAACATACACCCCATTTTAGTACTCGGCAGTCAAACGATGACTGCAGCCAAATTTTCTTAATTAAGCATTTAGATTAGCATTCTAAGCCCCAGCTTTTTCTATCTGCAGCAAATAAAAAAAAAATTGTGGTATCGGCTCGTCTCTCTGTTCTCTCGATAGTCATAATGAGCGAGCACGTGATTGGTTGATTTTGAATAAAAACTTTGATCAATGTTCAATAGTTAACCATTGATAAACAACTATCATCTCTATACCAAACAAATCTTACATTCAATCTGAATAAAATGGAGTAATTAAAATTGAATTTCATTCATAAATGACCATGTCGTAACCGTTCAAAACCTAACACTATTATGTTACACTTTTTTTTGCACCCCAGTATAGTCCACAAAGACGTAGTCCTACGTCGAAGTACTCCATAATAATTGAGATGTATGTTGCTTAAAAACATTAACCCTCTACTGTCCAAACCCGCCTTTTGACGGGGTATATTCAATAGCTGGTTTGAATTGGTTAGCAAATGTTGTGCCAATGGTTGGAAAGAAACACCACGTATTTAACACATGGAGAAAAAGCATGGGAAAATTTATTAGGACCAGAAATTCATCCAGCTCTCCTACATCTTACATATCTAGATAGAGCTGGAATTAGGGCGTAACAGCTTTTGTAAACAATGACTTCTCTCGATGATTTCTCGGAAGTCATGGCTCACCATGGCAAATCGACATCACCATCGAGTAGAGGAAGACTTTTTGAGTTTACCATCACTAAACTTTGCCAGTTAGTAGCAAACATTATGAGCTTCAATGAGGCTTAAAACGAAAATTTTCAAAAATGTACTTTTTGATAAATTAACTTTTTTAATAATAAATATAATTTTTTTCATTGATACAAACGAAATTTTTTACAGTGTATATTTTTTACACAATTGCCAAAATAATATCTACAACTTTGCTCTAGACCCCAAATCAATCGAACAAAGCGTTTCGGCAATATATATTTTTAAACTCATTAGTACTATTTTTACACAGGCCCTTAGTAGTCGTAATTCAATATGAAAAACTGAGAGCAGAAAATGGCGCCTTTACTAAAAAGGAACAACTGTGCAAAGTTTCAGCGTAATTGGAAATGATCGGACAGGATCGATTTGCGAACCTTCGTGGAATGCCTCTGTTTACAAAGGCTGTTACGCCCTAATTCCAGCTCTATCTGGAAATCGTAAAAACAGCACTTTCACCTTCAAGATTCAATTGCAATAGCAGCAACATCACAATACTAAAACTTCACTGTGATGCTAATTTTCATAGCTCTATACTGTCAAGGCAATGCTTGTCTACGTATATTTGAATCATTATTCGATCAAAGTGCTACTCCAAGCAATAAAAAAAATTCCATCCAAGCCAGACCATTCCCAGGTAGCAAATCTAGAGCTACTTGGTTTTATTTGAATTGTATAAAGGTTTTATTGCAGCAACAACAATTTCTATACACATTGTCATAAAATTTAAGTTTTATAAAATACTATAAGCTATCTGCAAAACTCTAATAAATCATATTATAAAACCAACTGATGTTAATGGTATTTAGATTTATGAAAGGTTTTGACAATGACAATGTTTGAAACATCATTACTCAGCTATTTATCGATAAATTTTAAATCCATTGATCCCGAATGAATCTTTAAAGTCAGTTGTTTTTTATTTATTTTTTTGTTTCCCTACCATAGTTATAATAACATATTGATTACTTATTTTTTTTTTACTATTAACGAAATTACTGATATCAAAACGCATACATAGATTTGTTATCAAGAAAACATGATTCGTTATCTTTTTGATATCCTTCATATAGCATTTAGATCTCATTTTTGTTATGATTACTGTTAACTCTACCACACGGTAGGCAAAATATGTTATCACGAACGCTTATATCAAAATATTAAAATTAGTTTTCATTTTGTTTTCATTCTCTGCTCGGGTAGGGTGGTTGTTGCGTGCTGTACCATCATCAGCATTGTTGGCGGCTACTCCCGCCTTGAGTTGTTACATTCAAAGCGAGCTTCATGTTAGATAGCATTTCCAACCAACTCTGAAAACCACTAGATGAATGTTAAACGTGATTTCAAATAACAGGGCCGTTCATAAATAATTAGACAATCTGAAAAGGAACAGGGCTAATCACAAATTACGTTCCCACGGTAATTGAAAAAAAAAATCACGAAAACTGACCAGTGGCTTCAACTAGAGTCGGTGTATAATGAGTCACGCCAAGAGTGAAGCCAAGTCTACCTATTGAACTGTCAAACCGGCTACCTATCGTGCAAAGTAAACAAGCATTACGATGCTATGAAAGGTCCACGAAAGGTATTGCAATTAAATATAAAATATAATCGAAGAAATGATCATATACGCGCAGTGAGCATTACATTTGTCATGCGATACGTTTTGTAATGATCAGTAATGCCAATTTCTACTATTTTTCTTTAAGATAATTCGACAAAATCCCTGATATAATGATTTACTACAGCCGTTAATTTTTTTCCTCGCTAGAAGTCATTTGAAGTTGATGCAGAAGTCCTCTGTTGCCAAGTTAAAATAAAGGGAATCTTTCAAAAACCGTGTTGCGAGTTCAACTGTTTTTCTCTTGGCGTGACTCATTATACACCGACTCTAGCTTCAACAAAATTTTCGGAAATAAAATCGTTTAATCTGTCTAATAAAATTTAGTGTGTACCTAACATTCAGAAATTTGTTGGAAACTTACCTTTTTTTCTAAATTTTAATTCATTTGTAAATCAAAATAATCATCAATTTGAAGCGAAAAACTGTACTACCGAAATCAGGAATGTAACGGCGCCGGTGGTGTAGTGGTAAGCGTGATTACCTCTCACCCCAGCAGGCCTGGGTTCAATCCCAGTCGGCGCCGCCGGGATGTTCTGAGGCATAACATCTCTGATCACGCCTTCCTTCGGATGGGAAGTAAAGCCGTTGGTCCCCGGTTCATGAGTTGATGGGTCGATAGGTAGGGTCCAGGTGTGGGAGCTGCCTTCCTGGCACGTCGGTAGCATTGGTGCTCAGCACGGAAAACAAGATCGACGGAAAAAAACAAACCAAAGAAATCAGGAATGAGCGACATAATTTGGGGAGGACATTCCAAAACCTGTGATATCTAATGCGCAGAACAAAAGCCGAAGGTTTTAATTTTTTCATCAAATGTTTGCTGTTTTATTACTATCAATATATATACTTTTAATTATTTTCAAATGTTTTTTCATCTTTTTCATTTATCAATAATCTCTGTACAAGTAATTTTAATTTTATATCATTTATATATTCATATATTTATATATAGTATATTCAGTATGTAGTTTGAAGTGTTTTTTTATTCTCATTGTAATCATTGTATTACCATTAAAAACTAAGCCTAGTAAAAAAAAAAGAAAAATTAAAAAATCTACTTTCACTTGTTGTTTGCAAATCTTATAATTTAGGTGTATTTTTGTTTTGTTGTTTACCTCTTTCTTCTTTTCATATTTTGTTCTCGCTGTGTTTCATGATATAAAAGAAAAAAGTAAGAACGACACAGAAGGTATTGTTTGTTTTTTCCTCACAAATGAAAATCTTTTTTAATTTGAAATTAAATAAAAGACGAAAAAACAACGAAATATGCTCTGTCAGCTTTCGATTGTTCGTACAAACGCGTACGGCACACGGTCGTACGCGTTTTTGTTTGTATCCGTTTGTCCGGGTTCTGGTTCTGGTGTCGAACTACAACCGCGAAAAAGAAGAAGAAGAAAAAGAACAGGATTCGACGAAACCCAAAAACTCAAAAAGTTCCAGGACAAAATCTAACATCATGATCTCTCTCTCTCCCTCTCTCTGTGTGTGTTTTCCTATCGTAGTTGAATCATCGTTTCTCAAGTGTTTTGTCACACTGCAACTGTAAATGTTTGTGTGAGGGTGTTATTCGAACTGATTTCATTTGCTTTTTTTACAAATACATCTACAGAATAAAGTTTGACCATTGTTTTGTTATAGTTATGCATTGTCCGCTCGCGGCGTTCGCGTATACGTGGGCTTGTTGTTCTTCTACACAGAGTAAATTGTCCACTGGCGGGTGCGCGAAAGGGATTCTCTTCTTTTCGGAGAAAGATTTTCTCCATTCGACAGAATACACGAATAATACATGATGATGTTCCACTGAATAGGGGGTATTTCTACTTTCATAAAACCGGGTGACGTCGGGTGATGGGGAAGTATTGTATGTCGTGAACTAATTAGGGATGATACTTTTACGCTTTTTAACCGCTTTCTCGACCACCGTGTCACCGTGTTGTTTGTGGGTGTATGTGTGTGTGTGTGTGAACAAACAAATGATCGAGAAATTTCGAAAAAGGAAAAGTTCAATTAGCCTTTCGATGGTTCGAATTTCGTTTTGGTGAGGGGGAAGGGGGGAAGGGAGAAAGGGGAAGGGGCAAAAGTTCTAGAAAAGCAAAGAAGACACGTTCTCTACGAGTTGTGTAACCACTACTAAAATATGTGTATGTATGTATGAGTGTGCTTGCTCGTCGGTTTAAGGGGGTTATTGTTGATTTTTACTCTCAATGATGGTTTTTGTATTTACAGTGTTATATTTTCTCTGCACCAAAGTGGCGTTTTTTTTTTTTGTTTAATTACCTTCATTAAAATTGGATTCAAATGTACTGGTTTACCGGGATAGATAATATTGAATTGATTTCGGAATATACGCGTTTCTGTTTCAAATGTACATTTACATGATACGCTCTACTATAACATGCGGGAACGTGTAAATTTTAAGATTGGTTTGTAAACTGCTGAATTTCAATGATTTTCTCCTTTCATTTCTTTTGTTTTCCGCTGCAAAAATGTGTTACTGTTTATCCCTCTATAGTTACATGCATTAGGTAAGGGTGCTTCTTCTTTTTTATCATCATCATCATTTGCTTCTATTGTGAAAGTGAATTTACGGATTTTTGTTTTTTTTCTTGTTTATGCTCGCTTTCGAAAAAAGAGTGTATTGACAGTTTTATTACTTCCAATAAATTTTCTTAGCTTCGCTTCGCTCGATAGAAATAGTAGGACACATCTAAGACAATAGGGCATCGGGTATTAAAATTTCTTCAATTGTTTATTTTTATATTTTCCCTTCTTTTGTTTCACTACATATCAAGACGATGCCTGGATGCCTCTCTTTTCGGTTAATTAATGCATGTGGATAATTTTGCATTGTTTCTTTTTTTTGCAAAAGTGTTTCCTCCCTCGGCTACTGCACGGGCGCTTCCTCTCGCTCCACCACCCTTCCCCGTTCATCCGTTCGACACTCTCGCAGCGGATGTGAGGGACGGCAGAGTGGGACAGCGAGAGGCTTGCACACGCGTGTGAATGGTAAATAAATCGAGTACGGATTTTGAGTATGCATTAGCGAGCGAGCAAACATCTTCAATATGGCGGCGGCGATGGCGGCCACAGCCTGCAACGATCCATCGCATTTCTCCTCCGCTGCTGACTGTGCCGCCACCATGAGGAGTCATTTGCATTACAATTATTGTGTTTTTTTTCCTCTTCATGCATTAGCAATTTGGTATCATCGAAATTAAGAAAATAAATAAGAAATAATAATGAAACAATCTACGCATGAACTTTATCCGAAATAATTTACATTATACATATACACAGAGTTTTTCTTCTTGGATTTTCCTTCGCTTGGTTTTTGTTTTCGAATGATTTTTGTCGAATTTTGATGCATTTATTTGACATAAAGATCGCATGGTAGAGCGACTTTCGCCGCAGTGCTTTCCATTCTGTCTGATCGTATGTCACCATTCATGTGTTTCGTTATTAAATAATAAAAACGATCGTTTCTATAAATTTACATTACGTATATAAATGCTTCAACAATTGTTTTTTTTTTTCATAACGTTTTTTTTTTCATTCTCCTCGTGCTGTTTTCTTATAAAAAAATTCTCTTTTTGTACAATTTTCAGTTCATTTTTTTCATTTTCTCTTTGCTTGTTTTTAGTTACAAAAAAATACTGCATTTTCATCGAATTTTCCGTTAACTTCACCGTTCACGTCCTTGCCTCTCCGGCCCTGATGCGCCCCCTCAGGGAGGGAAGGGGACCTCAATATTGAACTGTGCAAATCCATACATATTTTTTTTCTGTTTTGCTGGCCATTAAAAGCTAGTTAACCAAACTCTCTCTCTCTCTCTCGCAACCGCACGGGTTAAAAGTTACACTCTACAGACTACTACAACTAAGGGAAGAAAAAACTAACACTCGATCGAACTCGTCGGTGGCGGGTTCAGCGAAAACGTGAACACACGCACACATCCTCGAACACGGGCGCATACGTTCGTTCACACACGTGTGGCGAAAGCAAAATCGAAAGCAAAACTCACAAACACAGAGCAGGAAGAGAGTTGCACAGTTCAAAATGGTGCCCTTCCAGGGTGGTTGTTCACGGCGCTGCTGGAGGGAGAGGCTTGCATTTGTTTCTAGATCTCTATACATATATAACATTTTTGCCTCGATTATAATATTTACACAGTGATTTGTATTTCTTGTTTGTTTCGATTTACGCTTGCCGTTTATTTAGCATCTCCCTTAAAAGTTACGTGTTCACAGTTTGTAAATGTTGTGTTTAGCTGTTTTCTTAGTTACTCTGCTTGTCTGCTTGTTCTGACTTATTTGTTGCTGCTTAATAAAATAAGTTCTGCTCTTTTTAAAAAAAAACCAATAGCAATGATTTTTTTTTTTCGCTTTCATGTTTGTTTTCTCGCTCAGTTGTAATATAAATATTCGTGTTCTCTCCACTAAATCACAGTTTTTTTCATAGTTTCTCTTAATTAGTATTCAGTTTCTTGTCAGCGTATTTGTGTGTATGTGTGTTTGTATGTATGTTTGTGTTTCTTTTTTTTCTAATGTTTTCTTAATTTTGATGAGAATCATGATTCCATTTCAAAGTTCATTTTGTTCTCGTTTTAAAATAGCAATAAAATTTGTACATTCGGAGTCTGTATTTTGACCGTTTTTATTTGCCTTCCGTCTGTTCCATCTCAATGACTAAAGTGAGAACTAAGTGTGTGCTCCTCTTCTCTTCGCTTTTGTGTAAACACACAAAAAATCTGAAAATTACCTAAAAACTAATGTAGAAAAAACAAATGCTGCTGTTTCTAGCCTTCTTCTTTTTCCCCCCGGGAAAAAGAGTATTCCTAATCCAAAACACGTCTTCTACAAGCTCGAATGATGATTCCTCCAGCGCAGGATTCACACACTCACACACACACACACAATTTCAGAAAAGTTGTTGTTGTTCTTGCTGCGTGCGTGTGCGTGTGTGTGCGTGTGAGAGCGTGTCTATTAATCTTCTTTCATCTCGATTGTTATTAAAATAGTATCCTGATCAAACTATCCGAAAAACCTGGAGCTGACCTCCTTCTTCATCGCCACCGCCGTCGTCGACCGTGTCGCTCTCGTTTGCCCTGTGCTTCTTCTTTGTGTTTCACCATTCGCTCACCACCACCCAAACCAGCGGCAGCGGCAGTGCCTGCAGGGGGCTGCACGGTAGGTATAATGTAAAAGTTGATCGAAAAGTTGCCAATCCAGTTTTTTATTATTTTCGTTTCGTTTTGCTCTTTGTTATTTATGTTCAGGGCTTCTTCTCGATTTCTTTGCCCTCTCGAAGCGTACGAACGAAGCAGGCGGCGGCAGCGCACCAACCAAACTGGTTATCCACTCCACGCAGCCTGCTTCGTTTTACGTTGCTTTTTTTTTTGCATTTTACTCTACCACAACACCCCATATAAGGCTGCCTACTACTGCTGGACTGCTGGCACTGGTCCGTGGCGATACAGTTTTAGCACTTCTTTTTCTTCTTTTCAGCGAGAAAAGCAAAACGTGAGCGAAAGACATCAGGCGGCGACGGTGGAGAAAAGTGTGAACCAGGCTTAACCTTTCGATCGCGGACTCGTTGAAATCAAACGACGAGTTTTCTTTCCTTAATCTTAAGGGAGTAGGTATCGGGTTGCTTTAAACTTTCATAATATTCTTCATTTGATGCTCTTGGTGTGGTTGTGGTCAGTACCTCTCTGCTTATATATGTTGTTCTATATAAAAACGAGTTACTAAGTAATTTGTACGTTTTGCTTAAAGTCTTATGTTTTGCTATGCCTTCCTTAATCTTCTGCTGTTGCTGTCTTCCTTTCGAATAGTTTTGATTTCGTTTACCAACCCCTACCGTCAGTGTTCTCCTGTTTGTTTGTGTGTGTGTATTTAAATATTATAAAAGCTTATACACTCCCTCTTCCGCTCGGATCGAATCTGATTGGTACTAAACACTACAAAAAAAAAGCAAAACTCTCTGGAATCGAAAAATATTTAAAACAATATTTTCAGACATTTTCAGCTCCATTTTGGCTCCCGGTTTGGATCGTGAATAGACTTTTTCCTATCTCAACCCTAAAAAAAAAAAGTCGAGCAAACATTACAGATTTTCACCGACAATCACACGATCTTGATCTTTACCTTAAGTAGTTTGATTTCGTCATTTGTTTTCACCTCGTTTTTTTTTTTTAATGAACTCAAGTAGGTAAACCGAAGAAACACCCTGTCGTCACATTAAGTTGCAGCAACTTGATTGCGACTGAAAGAGGTTACATTTAAGTTCCCGCAACCGTTTTCTGTGCCAAAAGGTGCTTCTGGTAGATGGTGGAAAGCAGCCCGGAACGATTTGCACACACGTTTTAGGAACTATAACTGCTCGCAGAAATTCAATTTCATAAATAAACCTAACTTGACTAGCACGTACGCACAAAAAACTTCAATTCTAAACCATCTTCGTCCTTGGAAACAATAATGGAGGGTGGGTGCAATTGGGTAGTACTACTTAACAGTGTTGGTGGTACTGACTTTATGAAAGGTATTAAAGTCTACATTTCAACAAAGGCGAAACAACAGTCGTACACAATTAAGGGGGCGGGGGACGACGTTGCAATCTTTCCGGGCGGGGGAATTGACGGAGTTCGAAGCTTGCAAAATCACGACTTTGGTCTTACACGGATTTCGCATTCGTACGGAGGTAAAAACAAATGAGAAATTTCTAGTTCTAAAACTGTGACACCGCTTCGGTTTTCGATTGTTTTTTTTTTTTGTTTTTATGTCTTGCTTTGGTTTTTTTCTCTTATTCAAAAAATGATTACTGGTAAATATATCAATGAATGTGATAGTATTTTTTTATAAATAGATTTTTCTCTTTGCTATTATAAAAAGGTAGCTGATATCTCTATTTTTTTCTTATGCTTTCTTTCATTTGTTTTTGTTTTCTTATTAACGATCACAATAGGTAGGTTGGTATCCATTTCTTTCGCCGAATGGTTGTTTTGTTTACTTAGATTTTTTCTTGTTATTGTGTTTGCTCTTGTGTAAAGTCCAGGTTTCACGATTCCGTAGCGTATGTTGTTGTTGTTGTTGTTGTTTGTGTGTCTGTTTTGTATATAATCTCTATATATGAGTTCTCGCTAACTTTATTGTACAGATTTTGTTGGGTTTGCGTTTTACCTTTGTGTTTTGAAATTTAGCACTGATGTCTCTCCTGTTTCTTAGCCGTTTGTTTACATTTGTATCCAAATGTATAAAAATATATAGTATCACATTCAAATATATTCATTAAGCGTTCGTGTAGGTCATCATTTTTCTACTATTCAGTTATTTTATTAATCACAACAAATCTTGATCTCCCATTCCCTAAAGTAACCTCTCTCTGCTTGTTCTTATCTCAAGATAAAAAAAAATTAAACAAACTAACTAAACTTTCTCAGACTTTTCAGGGTTGTTGCTGTTGCCATTCGTGTAACAAATGTTCATCCATTGTCTCACTTATCTATCGCTAGTACTTTTTTTCCTCTTCCTATTCTTCTTCTTATGTATGGTGGTGGTGGTGGTTGGCGTTTGTTAAATAAACATGATTGACTTGTTTCCACATAATACGATAGATAAACGTTTTGTATACATATAAGCTGTTTCTGTTTCGTTTGGATTTCACAGAAGGAGACCTTAAACTAAGTAAGTATGACTTTCAAATATCACGATTTTAGTTTTCTCGTTTTCTCTTCCCCTCCGCGCCGCTCGGATCACATTAGAGGCGCGGAGATCTACTAGCAGCTAAATCACGTTCACGCACTTTGCCCAGGTACCGGAAAATATTCACGCCGTCGCACTCCTCGAATCTGCCCCTTTTATAAGAGAAGACAAATTTTACCCAAAAAATCCTTCTACTCCCCTTTATTAGCCTGCTTTCTTCTACCCTTTTTTCCTATTCCTATGATCTAGTTTGCACCCTTCGGTTGTTTTAGCATTTGATTTTTTTTTTCACTAAAGTCAGTCCACCTCTGTTCCACCTACGCGCTAGCGAAGGCTTTAAAAAAAATCCCCAACGAATGTTCGGAAAATCCAGTTTCCCTAGGGGTTCCATTTACTTCTCCTTTCATGGAGCGCAAATGATAATTCTTAACGCAAATTTAACTCAATAAAAAAAATCACAGTTCAGCTCGCTTTCGCTAGGTTTTCTTCAACTGTTGCATTTTCCCCCCCGAAAATTTCCCTTCGAAATGAACAAACGAAAAATGAGCGCACACACTTTACACTTTCCTACGAAAAAATAAAACTTTGGATGCACCAATTTCCTCCACCTCGAAAGTCGTAATCACTCGCGAAAAAGTCAGCGGCGAACGAAAAAAAAAAAAAACACGTTCAAACATGTCCAAACAAGGAAAAACTGCTGGTTGGTGCTGCTGGAACACACAACGCTCTGGGCACGCACGGGGGGAAACCAGAAACACGAAGAAGAGGAAAGATGTGTCAAATGTTTGCCACTTTCGCCAATCTGCGGTCGCTGCATCGGTGACTGTTGCAACGTTGCCATGACGACCGACGACCGCTTCGATTGCTTTCTAAACACTGCCTGCCGACCGATCAGATCAGAAGGGGGGTGGTGGCAGCGTGTGAGTGTGTGTGTGTGTGTGCACACAATTAAACATTAAAATCGAACATTTTTTGTGAATTAGATCACCCTTTTTCACCCATCGCCTTGCAACATGCACGCACACGATACGACGAGTTTAGGGCAAGCAAAAGTGACTTGCAAATGATTTGCAAGGAAGAAAGAGAAAAAAAAGAAGAAGTCTGCAAACAATTGACACATGTCCGCTTGCTGCTGCTGAGTGTGCGACAAAAATTGGAATGGAAAAAAAATACCCATACAAAATGGCGTACGTCAACCGAGGACGTAACCCTTCAACCCGAACACAGAGCCACATTGAGGATGGCGGCGGCGGCGGTGAAACGGTGGAAGTTTGTTCATCCGATTATTTTCGTTTTTTTCGCAGGACGGAAGGACTGTGTGCGTGTGCGCTCGTCGAATGTGCATCATTCTGTTTTGATCACAATCACAGTTGAATATTATTTATTGAGTTGCAGTTGTCGAAATTTGGAAAATTTTCCGATAAATGGGCCGGCTAAGGGCATTGCACGGTTGACAGCAGCAGTAGTTTCTGCTCCCGTGTCAAACGTCAAGTGTGGATGATGTTGTTGTCGTGGTGGTGGTTTTGTTATAAATATTTTACGATCTCGTAAAAATGTCGATATATGTACAAAAACGTAAAACGGTAGGTTTTAAAATTCGTTCTCTCCATTAAAGATTCACGCTTTCACTTGTTTTTTTTTTTTTTTGTATAAGTCTTACCCATTTTCCCTTCCTTTTTATTTTGTCGATTGGGGCAGGCTAAATAGTGTTCACTATGCTTAAAATGGCAGTCGTTAGTAAATTAACGATTTTTATAACATTTCCTCAGCGTGTTTTCCGTTTTTATGTCTTTCCACTGTTCTCAGTTTTGTTTGTATTTTCTTGTTTTGCAAAACATTTACATACCTAATATAAACTTATAAAACCTTACTAGCTAGAGCTTTGTTTTGATTCACAAACGAAACAATTGTCACGCTATTCATCATCATCATCATCATCATCATCAGCCTGCCCGGAGTCACTAAACGAATCGGGTCCCACGCACCCAATCACACCGGAAACCGGTACAAAGTCAGTCATTAAGTTATTTTTGCAATCGTTAAATGTACACTCTGCTAAGAAAAGATAGCTCAATCAAAATCACCGGGAGTCAAATTTCGGTTACCTTAAAAAAAACAGAACAGCCAAAGTGAGTGAGTATACAGAGTAAAGTAGTGTCGTCCAAAGTTGGGTCAATTGAAGCTCTCTATCTTTTCTTAAATTCGAAAAAAAAAATTGTTTCTATTTACAAAGAAGTACAAAAATAAGACTACTTTTAGTATATTATTTTTATACAAAAATAAAAAAATAAAAAAAAATAAAGAAAGTCATCACAGGTTCAAGAATATTATACAAGTTGATGTGTTTTGTTTTGAAGGCAGGGAGCGTCAGCAGAGTGGTAGCGGTTGACCGACGACGACAGACAGGGACGGGGCAGCACCCCTGGGAATGGGGACTGACATTGAGCTGACTTTGCGGGATTAGATTACACACGCTGTCACGTCATTCCAGGCTAAGACGATTATCCGCACATCGGCCGTTTCTCCCTCGATTCTATTGCGCATCTCGCGTGTTCTAAAGACGCAATTTATCGACCGTGTGCCTTTCGCCGTATTCTTTCCCTTCTTGGTTTCGCATAGCAGGCCGCCGAAGACGGTAAGTGAGCGAGCGATGCAAAATGGCTGCGCCTTTAATGAGCGGGTGTAATTTTACACGTTTCTACGAAGCGCGATGATAATTAGCTCCGGTCTGATGAAAGCAAAAGTGGCAATCGCCTTGTACGTAGCGCGATTCACGAGGTCCATTCCCAATTAAATGGGATATTCCAAAAGGTTCTCACGCTTCCAAGCGCGATAACGATCGGATGAAAACAATAATTGGCGTCACTCACAGCACTACTCTCACCCGCTTATAGTAGCGAAAAATACACCCGTTCTAACTAGAAACAAACATCCCTGACGTCAGACAGATGTAATGTTTTATTTTTCAACCGAGGCTAACTAGATTCGCGTCACGCTCGCACACATCCGTACGTCGTATACGTATGTGACATCGTCGTCGTCGCACATCCCACTCAGAACCGGTTCAAAGCGGAGACCGCTCACATACTACACGTCACACTATACACACATCATTCACATGCGGTGTTATCGTGCACGAATTTTTGCGGATTTTGCAACTACAAAAACGTGAATGACAACCGTTCACAGTTGACGGTCGGCTTATCTCATCTTGGTAATTTTCCATCGCAAATAGCAAACGAAAAATGCTTTAATTTTTCTTTTTTGCACGGAGCAAAATAACTCAAAAAGACGGTTTGTAAACACGATAATAATGAAATGCAAACGAGCACAGAGCAGAGTTGCACTCACGCAACGCCACCACCATCAAAGTAGCAGCTGCCGCCACTCGTTACGAATCGTCGCCATCTTTGTTTTCATTAGCTGACCGCCGAAAACAGCAGCAATTTAAAATATGACCAATTCTATACTGAGCATTCATAAAGGCCTCTGTCGCAAACGTCAACAATGGCTCCTTGCGCAAATTTCTAGCTATTCAAAGTCTATCGAATAGAGGGACTTTTCCCCTGCACAATCATCGTGGTGGTGCTGGGATGAGTTTATATTCTCGAGAAAATTTGCGAATAATTTCACTCAAAGAAGAAGTCGATGCCGACATTTCAAAAGGGCGAAATTGCATTTGTAAACCATGGCTTCCCGCATAAACGCGAACCATATCTTGACCTTACCGAAAATGGTTAAAAATTGTTTATAATCCTTGCTAAACTTTAACTGAAATGGTTATGGAACTTTACATGAACGTTTGTGTGATAAAGTTTTAACCTTATGTATTATGGTTTTTTGGAAGTGAACCTTACAAACAATGGGTTGTTAAGAACCATTACCATTTAAAATTTTTGTTTTCTCCATACATTTTCGGAAAGAGAACTATATTAGAACCTTTTTACTTATGGTTTGAGAACTTTAATGGTAATGGTTATGGTAGTCAGTAAGGTCCATGGATGGTTTTGTAACATCGATCAACTTTATGTGGAATATATCGCGAATAGGTTGCCTGTAAAGTAATGATTACCAATTCGTGATATATTCCACGTAAAGTTGACCGACAATACAAAACCATCCATGGACCTTACTGACTAACATAACCATTACCATTAAAATTCTCAAACCATAAGTAAAAAGGTTCTAATATAGTTTTCTTTCCGAAAATGTATGGAGAAAACAAGAATTTTGAATGGTAATGGTTCTTAACAACCCATTATTTGTAAGGTTCACTTCCAAAAAACCATAATACATAAGGTTAAAACTTTATCACACAAACGTTCATGTAAAGTTCCATAACCATTTAAGTTAAAGTTTAGGAAGGATTATAAACAATTTTAAACCATTTTCGGTAAGGTCAAGATATGGTTCGCGTTTATGCGGGTTTTGCCACCGATTTCTCGCGAATAAAAGCTCACACTTACAAAGTAACGGCGCTACTCGAGTTGGAAGAAGGAGGAGTTGTTGAAATCAGTTGTTGAAGTTACTGTTTACAAAAGCAATTTCGCCCTAATGAAATGTTGACACTGAAATGCTTGACCTTCCAAGGATCTAAAACATTTGCGTACGCAAAACGTCAAACATCAAATTCCGAACGAACGCACTACTGGGTACCGCTGACCATGAGATGACATCGTCGTCGTGCCAGGCTAAGCGTAGCGCAACTGACAGGCATTGAGACTTAAAAGTTCAACGTTGAACAGCAAAACACAATAGAGATGCGGGAGTTGTAAAATGCAAATTTGTGCCTTGATCGTTCTATTTGACTGACACGAGCACGGCGGAGAAAAAAGAGAGATTTGCCAGCAGAAACGATGTAATTTATGTGATATCGTTTCTCTTTGTTCGGGAGTCAATGAGCGGTGATGTGCGCTAGAGAGTCTTCTATTGTTTCGCACCGCACACATTGATTTCACCTCTGCTACTATCTCCCTCTGCCCATCATTTGACTTCCGCCGTCAGTTCCAAATATGGCAACGCACTGCTGTTGCACTGTAGCAGCAACCGGAGAAATCAATATGAAATGGGTTTGCCATTTGACGGCAACGGCGGCGATGGTTTTCACTCTCCGGTCGTGCCGAGGAAAGGCTCTGATCGAAGGAAAAGCACCCGTGCACGATTTCTGAACATTTCCTCGTTAATTAAAGCGCAGCGCGACGAAAGATCAGCGAAGAAAACTGGTCCTGAGCTGACATGTTTTCATTCGTGTTCAAACGGGCTCGAACAGTGAGACCCAAAGGGTGTCCAGGCCATTGCGGGCACGTTCGAGTTTGTGCACGTAATTTTTTGACACCCACTCACGGTCGTTGGAAGCAACTCGAAATTTTGGAGGATTTTACCGAAGAGGCTGAATTGGGTAAATAGGTGACATCTCATCAATTTGACAGGTTGTCTGCTCGATTGGAATGACATTTTTTCTAGATTAGACTAGTTTGACACCATTTTCTGACGGGATAGCTGCTTTCTAGTTGGAACGTCACCCAATTAGTGAACTCTCCCAACTAAAAGGCACCGCAATGAGAAAGCCCCAAACGAGCAAACGACGGCTCTGTATTTCAATTTTGAGGTCTTTACCCATTCAGCCTCTTTAGATTTCACTCAGTTGTCGTAAAAAGAAGATTGGTTCAAAAACGACTAACCGTTACTCAAACGTAGCTCAAATTTGAGTGGACGTTACTCTTAAATGAGTAACATCGAAATCCAGTACAAACTAAGCATTTACGAGGGAAACTGGGACTACCGATTAAATGATTTAACAAATACTCATCAATGAGTAAATTTTTTACTCATTTAATGGGGAGTCCCAGTTTCCCTCGAAAATGCATACTTTGTAGTCAATATTGAGTCCTTTGTAGTCATAGTATTGGGTATGTTGCGGTTACCGTGTATTGAATAAGTGATAATCGGCATTATTCCCGTTCTCAAACAAATCGGATTTTCCATACAAAGTTTTAAATTTTCCGTCTTGTTTGTAAAAGGCGAACGAGGGCGACTAAGTGAAATCCCACTTTTGGAGGGTGCTAGATTGGAATTTTCCATAACCACGAGGACGAGACCTAAAGGGTGTCTAGGTTATTACGTGCACTTTCGCATGTATTTTTTTCACAGCCTCTGTTTGCCTACACGGTCATCGAAAAGAACTCCGAATTGAGTAGGACTTCACTGATTTTTTTGAAAAGACTTGAAATTTTACTAAAAAATTAGTAAACGTAACTCAAGACTGAGTGAACGTTACTCTAAAATGAGTAACATTAAAAGCCAGCTTTGAATAAGTAAACTTTTTACGATAATAAGTGAAATCTTACTCGATTTTGAGTTGTTTAACGGCTTTGCAAAAGAAATTTTTAAAAAACATTACATTTCACACGGGAATCGCAAAATACTTAAAAATTACTAAACAGTATGCATTTTCGTGGGAAATTGGGACTACTCAAAGGAGTAAATTCGAACCCATTTTTGAGTAACTTTTACATGCAAATGAATAATTCTTACTCATTTTTGAGTAAAATTTTACTCTTCGATTAGGTAGTCCTACTTTCCCTCAAAATGGCATACATTATAGTCAATATTAAGTATTTTTCGGTACCGTATAGGAAGGTAGGCTTATCTTCCAAAGAAACTTTAGCAAGCCGTTTAGAGGCCTAAAGGGTATCCCTGTAAATCCGGACACATTCGTGCTCGTAATTTTTCGACCGCCTCTGATTGAACAATGGATAAATTTGAAAAACAATTTGCACTTTTGATGACCGCAATTCCGCTGCCAAATATAAAAGAAATGCGCAATTTTGGGACAACTTTACGGTGCCATTTGAATGCAACTTTCTACAACCATTCAACGCAATGGCGCTGTCAGAACGACAACTCCCGCAATGCAACCGACTGGCAGTGCAACTCCCGAACTAGGAAATCACGTTTACAGCTCAATATCATTCAAATCAATCACGCCGCGAGCTGAGCTCGGTCGGACTGTTGCGGTCTTTGTACACACAGTAGTACAGTAGTTTAAGTTCCCAGTTTCCGTACTCCCCCGATCGCTACACTGTCGCTGGCGCTACCTGTCCACCCCCTCCCCCCCCCCCCCCCGTCGCGTCACACCGTTCGTCTCCCCATCGCTCCACTGCCATTCAAAGAGAGATCGTTCGTTAGTTGGATGTGGTTGATTTTTTTTTCGCATGCACTTTTGCTCGTCAACGCGGAAGACTACAAATGCCTCTTCTCCTTCTCTTCCACCAATCATCATCGGTCGGGTAAAGCTATTAAAATTGACAATAGTGTTTGACTTTGTACCGTTCTCTTCCGTTGTTTGTCGGTTCTCGCATTCGCACTCGCTCGATCGCTCATACACTCGCATCTATTCGGGAGCCCAATTCTAATCCCCGCGGCCCCGGGCTTCGTTGGCGTTGGTCAAATTTTCGAAAAAGACTCAGGAAGTTGAACCTAAACCACTTTATGTAAATGGAGATTATCAACAAGTTAAAAAAAAACTATGGAATATACATATAATGTATAAGATTTGTTCCACGTTAGGTTGCCTTCCTTGGTTCTTCTCGTGTAGCATCGTTCTGTCTGTCTCTCCTGCTAGATGTTTTGCTTACATCCCTAGACGGGATTTTTTTGTAATTATTGTTGGACGGTGGGTCTTTGTGTTGTTTACGATTATTAAATGATTTTCATTTCCTTAATTTTTTCCCGATTCGGCCGAAGCCTGGGCCATGTTTGACAAATGTGTTTCGAAACCCCCTGCCATCCTGCACAGTCAGTAGGCGCCGAGGGATGACTCATAGCCGTGTGGTGCAGATGACTTCCTTTCTCTTGTTCTCCCCTCGCCGCCGTTCAACCGACCGATCGTAGTAGCCCACGTTTCAAGGTGCCTATATACGGCTGCTGGTCGAGGCAACCCGTTCGTCTGCTGTATTGGTGGTAATCATCATCAACGTAGCATGCCATGTTGCCGTGTTACCTGTGGTTACCAAAGCCGTAGCTTACACAACCCCCGTCGTCTAGCGAGCTGGCTAGTGGCCGTGCGTCACAAGAGTTGATAGATACGGGCCAAAAAAAAACGGTGCACTACTTGAGACGTTAAGTCTGTGTGGGTGTTTGATAGGCAATAAGTAGTACACCGATCTGGTGGGAACAATCTTACTAATAGTAAACACCTCCACACGAGCAGTCAATCACGTAGTCTCCACCAGAGCAATAATCATGGCGAAAACCTAGACGAATCAGCGCTGGAATGGGGCTGTGGAGGCAGTATAATTTAGTAGTAGACACGTTCAAGCGAAGAAGAAGAAATATGTATATCCACGGAACACGAACTCCGCCACCACCGAGCAAGATAAAGAAGAAAGACAAAAACAAATGCTGAGTTTCGTCTTCTTTATTTTGCTCACGTCTACATATATCTTGCTCGGTTGGTAGCGATGACGAAGACGGCGTACAAATGCACGAATACCACCACAAAGCGAAGCTCACTACAGCAGACGGACGGGGTACGCGCTCACCAATACCAACGCAGAGAAAACTCAAAGAAACTAGTTTTTTTTTGTTACGACGATGAACAGCAACTTTGTGTATCTATCCGATTTTTTTTTGCCTGATGGAGGCGATCATTATCGTGAGCTCTCTACGGCGACGGCCCGTATCGTTCGACCAGGGACGAGTTTCGAAACACATTTCAGATATTAAAATTTATGGTTTTCGATCCTTTACGCTACTTCGTTTCCCTTTTTCCCCTCTATCTCTCTCTCTCTCTCTTACTTTGGCTATCATCCTCTCCTTCAATGGATGACCTTTTTTCCCTGCCACTTACTCACTATACGTCGCATCCGCTCGAAAGGTGTCTCTGGTGCCTCGCTACGCTTTTCCTTTGTCGCCGCTTGAACTTCTTTGCTTCGACTTTAATCGGAAAACCGTTTTCAAGTAAACAAAAAAAAAAACAGGAACAACAGGTGATCAAAGTTTTTTTGCTTTTGGAAAGGTAAGTAGGCAGGAAATTTTGTTACGATCGAAAGGGGACAAAAAATCGACCCAAAACGAACAAGGGAAGCAATTTCCGTTGCATAAGCGAAGGAAATACGGCAACGCTTTGCTGCGCTTTGGGCCAGTGCTGTTGACTTTTCAATGAAGAGCGATCCGTGGATAGGTAAATTTGTTTACACTGTATTAACTATTGCTTAATCGAAAAACCATTTTTGAAAAAGCAACGTACAAAAAAATCTGCACTTTTAAAAAAAATCTGAAAAATCCCGTAGATCCGTATTAAATCTCAAAATCCACAGACTTGACCACACTGCTTTCGCCAGGACGCGTAAGGCCGAAGCAAAGAAGCCGAAGACATTTAGCGGATTTTAGTAGCGATTACTCTCTCTCTCTCTCTCTATGTGTGTCTGTCTCTATAGGCTTAAATGCAATCATCATACTCGTCGTCGCTAATCCACAGCCTACAAAATGCCTGAGTAACCACAGCCCAGAAACACCCCCGAGCGTCAGCGGCAACCACGACCATTTTGTGCTGTTGTTTCGATTGTTTTTTTTTTTTTTGGCATTTGGCAAATAGGGGGCGGGGGTTGTTTTCCTAAAATATCCTATCCCTCGAACTTTGTCGTCGTCTACCTCGATCTACTAATGCATTTCGATTCCTCCTCTATACGCGCAGATGACCTTTTCACACTACGGTTGTTGATGATATTAAATTTAGCCTCGGCTTCAGAAGCTTCTTGATTCCATCATTCGTCCGGCTCTATATTCTTCGCGGCGGTAATGCAGGGAGGGGAGGGGTGCAGATCGGGAAGCGCACGGGTGGGGACTGTCTTTTTGCCCTATCTCTCGCCCCCATCGACGACGGGGGATGTGAGGGACAGTTCAGAATGACCCTCCTCTTCCTGGCTCTTGCCGACTCTGCGCCCGGATGGGGTTCTCTCCCTGACGGTACAACAAACTCGCTCGCAGCTTTAAAGCTATATTTCTACCATAATTATACATATAGATTCCTGTTTCAGTTTTCCATTTATTCGTTTTGCCTTGTTCAGTTCCATGCGGTTTTTGTTTTGTTTTGCCGGGTATTATGATTGTTTTTTTTTCAGTTTATAGTATTCTTTAAATGTTGGTTTGTATTTTTTTTTGTTTGTTATAAGTCAGCAACACTTTCTATCTAACCGGGGTTTCTTCACTCAAAATTGGGAGATGTTACAATTATGTGTGGTTTTTCTTCAAATGCTTTCCCGTTTCTGGACTTAACCTACTACAGTACTCGTTAAAGAGAGTGTCGACCGATCCATGTGATTGATGACTTTACCTGGCTGAGTTGGATTGGGTTGATGTTCTAACCGTATTCAGAAGTTGTCCTCACTGATAGAAAAAATCTCGCACTCCACAGATGTCACTCTCTTTCTCTCTCTCTCTATCGCTCGTCCACTCGCTCTGTCCCTCGAAGTGTTGCTGCCCGTGAAGATGGAGTTTGGGTCGGCACATTCACTCTCCTGCGCCTCGCTCTGCTAAGCCCACCAGATTGAGAGCTAGCACACGTAGCGCATAGATGTACGATGTTTGATATGAATAGTTTTTGGTGGTTAATTTAACCATATTTTTTTTATTAAAAACGAAGGAGAGTGAATGGGACCGACCGGTGCTGTCGTATTTGAACTTAACACTGCGTACGAACTTTGTTGTTGACAAACTGGTTGTCCCAGGGGAAATATTGTTGCTGCTGATGAACGGATGGCGAGTAGAAGTTGTTGTTATGTTGATTATTATGCTGATATCGGTTGTTGTTGAAGTTGTTGCTATTGTTGTAGCCGTTGTATGGTGGACTAAGGGGTGGACTAGTCTGTCCACTAGACGACGAGCTGACGCTATTGTTATGACGCTTCACGTAATGATGATTATTATGATGATGATTGTTGTTGTACTTGTTGTGCTTGCTCTGCGTTCCTCCAAGCGAATTCGATGGATTGACATCCATAAAATCTACCATAACACTAGTTCCACTATCGGACGACGTCGACAGATCCACTCGGCCGACCCGTTCCATAATGAATTCATCACAGCTACTGCTACCCGTCGAATCGAGATCCGACGAGGGACTGGCACGGCTCAGGTGTTGATCGTACAGCACACAGATGGTACCGTTCTCGCCAATACGGTACGAAACCTCGTCCGGATCGATCCAGACCGTCAGCTCCAGGGGTAGCATCTTTCGAAGTGCAATCGCATTCAGACCCACTGCGTGACCCGCCTTCTCGATGATCGGATCCATCTTCCCGTTGATCCGCAGACAGCGGAAGCCGGAACCCTTGTTAGGAACATCAGGATACCAATGACGTGCGAAATGACGCGTCAGAGTCAGCTCGAGCGATCCCTTGAAATGCTGCAGTTGGCTCTCGGATAGCTGATTTGCTTTTTTCACTCGCAGCAAATTCATCAGAAAATCCGCAGCCGAATTTACTTCTATTCTCATTTTCTCGGGATTCGTTTGTACGAACGGAATCTGTGCTCCACTGTGTGCAAATGCGCCGTTTCAAAACGATTCAACATCAAACTTTGAACAGACTCGTTCAGTAAAAGGTGCCACTCAGCAGCCACCACACTACTTGATACGACTTTTCTCTGCTGCTTCGTTATCTTTTCCTTCTTCTTCTTAAGCTTCCACTTCTTTGCCCTTACACTTACGACGCACTACTTTGCAATGCCAGTAAAATTTCGGTTCAAGTTTCTCACTTTTGCTGCAATTGCTGCCAGTAGCAACCAAGAAACTCGTACGAAAAAAAAACTCGCCACCGTTAGTGAATTTCTAAATTTTGCACTTTTTCACCAACTGCTGCTACTGCTGCTGCTTCGTTTTCTTCTTTACTGGCAGCGAAAACACTTCAAATATGGTGAACTCTTCTTCTTCGTCTTCTTTTCCTGCTCGGGCTTCGAAATGGGGCTCTAACACAGCACACTTTTGTTGGGTTGTTGGTCGTCGTTGGGGAATCGCCTTCCAAGATACGGCACAGATTTCAAACTTAAATTAGAACCTTAAATTACTTCCAAATCACAACTGGTTTCGTTTTCACCGACAAAAGGATCACAAAGTTGCGCACAAACTAGGAAATTCGCGAACCGAAAATCGAATTTCAGCTTTTTTCCAAGATGGCTGGTTTCACACACTTGTCCTTCTTCTCTTGATCGCTATTATACCCTCAGTTGCAAAACACAGTCTCTCGCTCTCTCGCTACACTCGATTATACGTGCGGTCACTCGGTTCGCTCGCTTTCATCGGCTCATCACTTCGCTGAGGTTCAACTTCGAATAAAAGTAGAAACCGTGGCTAGCTGCACGGTAACCTCGGCGATGAGTCTCGAAAATCGTACACCGCGCAGCAGTGTTCGTGCAATCCAGCTCCCATTTGCTTGTATTACCCATCCGTACACGAAACCCAGAGGCACGTACGCGTACCTTGCACGCAAACACACACAACCCGACCAGCGAGCGAAAGAGATACCGCTACATTTGCAGCAGCGGAAGAGAGAGAGAGAGAGCTCAGCTGGTCTAGACCAGTTACCACGCGACCGAGGGTAATGCGAGGGATTGCCTATTGCAGCCCAGCTGGTAACCGAAAATGGAGTACCGTACACATTTATCGAATCGATCACCGATTGTAAATTAATCCCACACTGAAAACTGAAAACACCACGTTGGCCTAGAGAGATAAGGCACTGAGACCACATTTCCGTTCTCCCTTTCGTCGGGAGATAAACGCGTCTCATACGACAGTGATAAGGACAATGTGCCTCGGTGCTGCTTGCACTTATCTTATCGCATTTTTTTTTTTTGCGGATGAAAGTGGCTAGCAAATAAACAAGCGTTATTTGTGATAAAGACCAAGTGGTGGGAATTGCGTTGTACACATAAAAGCACGTCAGTGAAAGCGCGTTCACCACATGATACGACCAAAAAGCGTCGTGGGACAGTTAAGTTGTTATTTCGCTGGAAAACAGTCATTGTTGATTCCCATATTACAAAGTCGACGGGGGTTGGATTCCCAATCCGGCCGGAACATTTTCTCGACTTCCCTGGGAGCATTTCCTTCAATGTCAATTTTGTTTCGACCCCCTCCGATTTGAATGATACATTGCTCACATGTTCGCTGATACCAATGCACAATGGTCCCAAAGCCGTATTTAGGAAGACAAAAATGTTTGCGCTAAAACCGTTGATTTTAGGCATATGGTGTCTTCGGGAAAGTTTCTTCATATTTTTTAACCGATCTTTTCATGTTAGTGAAATTAGGGTGGTCCATAAAATTGGTGAATTGAAAATGCAAACTTTTTTATTGTTTGAGATAGACCAATGTAGTTTTCTACAAAGTTGCCAAACAATAAATTTGCAGCAACTTTGCAGAAGACACCAAATTTCCATCTCTTATGGTTCACGAGTTATGATTTTTTTCAAACAAGCAGGTTAGGGTGGTCCCTGTGAAGCGCCCAAACTCCGTTGCGCATCCATGTTTCACTCCTGTGTTGAAGTGCCCAACGTTGAGCAACAACTCGCGTGGTCTTTCTTTCTCCGTAAAATGAAAGACAGTTTAATTCCATTTCTACTGTATGGAAAAAGCTCTTTGATGAATCAGTTATCCTGAGGTTGGAACTGTGCTCGTCCGCACCTAGCAAACCTCGGATAATAAACTCATCAGAACAACTGCCCCGATTCTTTATTATTCGAAACCTTTTATACATGAATTTGTTACTTAAACTCTACACAATAGTTTTTCTCCAGTATGTACATATAAAGCGAGACAGATAGTTTTTCTCTTGGAAAGTCGGTGTCTGTTTTTTTAACAAGAATTAATGCTCCTCGCGGTAGGAACGGCTATGTATGATGCTTACTCACCAATGTTTACTTTGACCTTTCTCGAAGCACCTAGTTAAGCCAGCGCGCATCGCTGACGACGCGGTAGCAACTGTTTATAAACAACTGACCCTGGAAATGTGCAACATTGTCACTGCTGCTGTTAAGTTGTGTATTTTCTACTACCGTATGGGGGTCTATTACTGGTTAATTTCTTACTCAGATTGATATTGGATTTTGAGGCCTTTGCATCCCCTCTTACTTAACCAGCTTGAGAATAATATCGAAGAGATTCTTCTCAAGGATATGCGCTGGTATCTATTCTATATTTGCTAATTTTGTTTACTGGATCTTCTTACTATTGTTCTTACTCCTACTGTGCCTTTCTTAAGACCCTACTTTGTACTATTGATAAACATATTCAGTCGTTCATACTTAAACTAAATTTTGTCATTTGGCTAAATCATCTGTGTTAACAAGTTTTATCACGCGTTTTGCTGATATGAAAATTTGCCTAACTGACTTACGTTAATTATGCGTTTAGTTGAGTTATACCATTCTTGTTGCAATTGATATTTAATGTTAACATTCTATAGAACTATTACGAATACTTCACTATAAGGAGTGATGTTAGAATTTGGGGTTGTTGCATCCCCCCTTACTTACTGAGCTTGAGAATCATTTTTCAAAAATTATTATCAATAAGCTTGAGTTGGTAATCTTCCATTTGAAAATTTCGTGCTTTCTTGTTGCCATATTTCTCCTAACCATAGGGTGATCCTCAATTGTACCTTTCGTAAAAGCTCCTTCATTTCTGCTCGTTCATCCATGCGATTGAAAGCTGTTCCTGACTCGTCATTTGGTTGATATCAAATATCAGGTGTGGGTGTATCTGCCATTACCCGCCATCTATGATTCGTTGTTTGCCGCATTCAGGTTACTCTTCATCGTCTTTCATATCTATGTCTTGTACTGATCGCATCTCGTCATTATGTATGTTTCTGTTGGAAACTTTTTTAGTGCTTATTAGAACTTCAACTTTCTCTATGGTGTAGTATGATTCCACATCTTCGATGATTTTCGTTATAAGATGTAAACTTGTTTTGGATTTTATCCACGACTGTTTTCTATCTGTGTTTATATATGCAGCTAGTCAATTTATTGTTTGTGCCATACCATGCGTTAGTTGTGTACTTGATTGTGCTTCATTGCCATTTTTTTAGTTTGATGTTTAATGATGTCATATCAAACGTTACGTTGTATGTTCTGTAGTTTTATGATGATGTTTGCGAAACCGTTGCTGAAGTAGTTTCTCTTTTTAGATGCTGTGTGATGAGCTTATGCCAAAGATTGCTCATCTATACAGTATAATGTGTTGATCAATTCTGTTATCCTCGATAAACCACTCGATTCCATCTTCCTGTTCCTTATACTTTTCCGATGATCCTACCCAACACCGTCAATCTTCAATCTTCCGCATGATTTGTCTTTCGATTGTCATCTAGCCATTGTGAATGTGACTCTTCCTTCACTGTTGACCGTCTCTGAGATTCGCCACCTGGTACATCAAAAATCGATTTTCCCTTTCTCACTGTATCACCAATAATTTTCTTTTAGATAATTTTTTTTATCAATTTCACTCTAAAACATTCATTAAACTATAACTTTGGTATATTCAAATTATTTTCTACTCATCTTTTGAATCAACTATAATTATTTTTTTTTACTTGGTTTACATACTTTGATATCATTGACATGATATGATTAATAATATTCTTCATTAGTTGCTTGCTGCTCTTATTTTTTTCAATTTCATATTTTCATCTACAAATTCAGAATTAATTACTTTAACTGAACATTCTTATCTGATTGTCGATATTACACTTCTTGTTTTACTCTTAACTTTGTTTAACTATTTTTGTTTGTAGTTGTAACTCACCAATTAATCAAAGCATCTGGATGGCTACGTCATGAAATTGCAGCAAGTACTCTCTTTCTCCTAATGAGGTTTAAAACGGCACGTATCTGTAATTCGATTCATTTATGCTCGGTTCCAGGTTCCTCTGGCCATACGTTTATGTTTTTATTTAGTCAATTCAATTAATGTCTTGTAAGTGGCCAAATTGCTGCAAGTGCTCGTCTTCGCTAATTGAGAGGAAACGGTGGGTATCTGTAAGTAAACTTAAATTTCAGTTAGACTCATTCATAAATTCTCGGGCATTCTTGATTCCAAATGCCATTGTCCAATTGTTCATCTCCACATCTGTAACGGTCTGTAAAAAATAAAACGGCCTTTAATAAATTGTCAACCATAACATCATTCACGACTCTGGTATCATTTAAAGTATTTTAATGCTGTGTTTTGACGGTATTTTCCGTTCAAAATTGTTTTGTATTCAATCTCGCTGTGAGATTCTAGTACACAGTTAGTCCAAAGCGCTTAGGTACAATATTCTTGTCCACTATGATCTTGTTTTTCACCGTTTTTTTTTTATCATTGTCATAAGTATTATTTTTCAACGTGTTAATTTTTTTTAATGAAATTATTGTTTAAATCTGTAACTGTTTTTCAGTAATTTAATCCATATTGTGTGCTGTAATGTCAATCCTTAGCTCTTCGATCCATTCAAAATCGTACTGCAAAATATTTTGCTCTTTTTTGATGAATACATTTGTTTTATTAGCTGAATCATTCAATTACTGCATGCATTACATATCGGTCGAAATTTTTTGTATCTCTTTGAAATGTTTTCATCACTAATTATATTAGAAAATACTGTTTACTATTATTAACTATATATGATTTTACCTTTGTTTTCATTTTCTTGGAAATTTATCTGAAGCTTCGCTTTTATGTTTCCATCTCCATATGTGCATGTTTTGAACATTTTGTTTAATTCCTTATTAATCCCAATTGAAATTTAATATATACTTTTTCTTTACAATTTTCAATTGTCTCTTATCATTCTGGTTATTCCATAAATTCATTTTCAAATAACAATACTTAATTTTATATCTACATACCCCGGGGTCATTATCATTTAGTCAATAATATCCATTCGATTTTTATTCTTATTATTTATTTATATTACTATTCAATTTAATCATCACCATATACATCATTCGTTCCGGGAACGTCTTCCCTTGTCTAACGCACTCTCTCACAAACATTCCATGTATGTCTCTTATACATTAGCTACAGTTTATCACCTTTTTTTTCACTTCACTAATATTTTTATTATTTGCTCGCACTATTCTTTCCATTTTCATAGCCATCTCCCATGTTTCTCCAAATTTTAATTGTTTTTTTTTTTAATATGTGTGTCTCTCTATTCTTAATTATAATATAAATATTATGCACATAATAATCGATTAATAAATACTTATTTTGATTATAAGAATCTTTATCTGTACTGACGAATTTGTTCCGTGTACTTTATGATTAATCATTGTATCGCTTTATACGATTGACGTGGATTTTTTCTAATT